GTGGGTCTCATCTAATCAGTTTAAAGCTTTTATAGAAAAAAGACTGACTTCCCCTGGGTAAGAAGGAATTCTTTCAGCAGGTTGTCTTTGGACTTGAATTGCACCCCTTCTCTAAGTCTCTAGCCTGCCAGCCTACCCCATCAGATTTTGGACTCACACAGCCTCTGCAATCACGGGAGCCAATTCTTAAAAATCAATCAGTTAATCTTCCTCTCTCTCTCTCTCTCTCTCTCTCTCTCTCTCTTCATATATATATATAGATAGATCAAAGAACGAGTAGAAAGAGAAAGGAGGGAGAAAACAAGGTGGAAGAGAAATTGGTGGAGGGTGAGAGAATGAATTTGGTTTTGGACCCATGGAACTTGAGGTCTCTGGCAAGCAGGTAAGGACACCACTGGTTGACTGATGAGCAGGAGATGTCCAACATGAAAGCCTCCCATGAACCTGCTGGAGTTTGGTGGACTTTGCCTTTCCACATCTTGGGAGGAGAGCTAGTAGGGAGGAGCTTTTCTGCAGGTGACAATGGCTTCCAGAAGGGGGCAGCAAAAAGGATGGTTCAGAAGAAAGAGCTTGTCTAAGTATGTGCATTTCAAGCCAAAGTTCTCCGGAAACTGCTTTCACAGGTAGGGAATTCAACAACAGTGTCCACTGCAGTGAAGCATTGTATTGGTCCAAGAAGAAAGTGATGACAAAATAACATTGAGACCAGTTCACCCTGCAAGTAGAATCTCTGAGTTATGTTTGGTTTGGTTAAGAATGGAAATTGCACTTTTATATATATGCAGATAGATGGATGGATGGATGGATGGATGGATGGATGGATAGATAGATAGACAGACAGACATGCGTTGCTTAACAATGAGGATATGTTCTGAGAAATCCACCATTAGGTGATTTCATTGGGCAAATATCATACAGTATACTTACACAAATCTAGAAGGCATAATATATACCTAGCCTCTATGGTATAGCTGATTGGTCCTTGGCTACAAACCTGTACAGCATGTTACTGTGTAGAATACCGTAGGCAATTTTAACACAATAGTAAGTATTTGTGTATCTAAACATAGAAAAGTAATACATTGCACTACAACATTACAATAGCTATGTCACTACTAGGTGATAGGAATTTTTCAGCTCCATTATAATCTCATGGGAGTGCCACTGTAAATGTAGTCTATCCTTAAGCAAAACATTCTTACGTAATGCATGACTACACATACATACACACACATAATTTTTTTTGGTACTGTTTCTCTGTAGAATCCTGACTAATATACCCTCTTTCAAAGACCATGTTGCCTTTCAAGGCTGAGGCGGAACTGGTGCCAGAAAGACTTTCCTGAAGCAAGGACCAAAAGAGCGAGTCAGATGATGGATGCCAATGAGATCAGTAATGGTGACGTGGGTCAGCAAGAAGCTATGGCAATGGCAGCACCACCAATAGTACCAGCAGCACCAACAGACAAACTAACTGACATTAAGGGTCATTCTCATTTGGGAGGGGGCAGCTGGAGAACTTTCCTTTTGAACACCTAAGGTTCATAGATAATCTACAGGAGATAGGAAGCTCAAAGATTATGAGACTACACTTGCTGCTAACTTAGCATATGGAAAAATAAAAGCAATATAACGTAACTTACACCCACAAGTATTATGGAGGAATTCATACCTATTGACATAAGAGGATGATCATGTCTTTCTCTTGCACTTTCTAACTAGGTGACCTTAAGTATCACGAAATTTTTCAGCCTCAGTCTTCTCATGTGCAGAACAGGGTAACTACATGGTTATGAGGATTAAATGAAATAGTGAACTTGAAAGCATTTGGCACAGGACTTGGTACATGGTAAACATTCAATAAATGTTCTAATCTGCATCAAATAAGAAAAAGTATCTGTCTGTACATAGTTTAATAAGAGAGGGTGCTTTTCTCCGCCCAGCACTCCTCTGTTGGCCCTCTCTCCCCTCCTCCTTTAAATGTTTCATGATAGGAGGGGTGAGGCTCTCTTCTAAGGCATCTTTAACAACCATTGCCTGTTGAATTCTTTCATAGGTTGAGTCCTAATTGAGAAATGCTTATAAGCAAAAATCCAGCTGTGCATAGCAAGGCAAAAGTATATGATTAAAGAGTAAAACTGCTTGCAGAACAAAATCCACCGACTGTCCTGGTGTGTTTATTATATAATCCAATTATTTAAAAAAATGAAATTTGCATCTAACTATTCAAAAATAACCTGAAGAAAACAGCAATAGTTTTATTTTTTTACTTATGCACAATTATAATCCTAACTTTCAGTGAAAGAGGTAATTATTTTAGTGTTAGGTATAGTTTTTTTGTTTTTTGTTTTCCCCATAAAGTAGTTCAGGAGTCAAAGCTGGATGCAGTGACTCATGCTTATAATCTCAGCATTTTCAGAGGCCAAAGTGGGAGGATCTCTTGAGCCCAGTAGTTCAAGGCCAGCTTGGACAACATGGCAAGACCCATCTCTACAAATAAAAAAATTTAAAATATTAGCCAGGCCGAGTGGTGCATTCCTATAGTCCTGGCTACTTGATAGACTGAGGCAACAGGATCACTTGAGCCCAGGAATTTCAAGGTTGCACTGAGTATGACTGTGCCACTGCACTCCAACCTGGGTGTCAGAGTAAGACCCTGTCTCTTTTTTTTTTTGAGATGGAGTTTCGCTTATGTTGCCAAGACTGGAGTACAATGGCATGATCTTGGCTCACCACAACCTCCACCTCCTGGGTTAAAGTGATTCTCCTGCCTCGGCCTCCCAAGTAGCTGAGATTACAGGCATACGCCACCATGCCTGGCTAATTTTTGTATTTTTAGTTGAGATGGGGTTTCTCCATGTTGGTCAGGCTGGTCTCGAACTCCTGACTCAAAGTGATCTGCCCACCTCAGTTTCCCAAAGTGCTGGGATTACAGGCGTGAGCCACCATGCCCTGTCTGATCCTGTCACTTGAAAAAATAAAATAAAGGCAGGGCACAGTGGCTCACACCTATAATCCCAGCACTTTGGGAGGCCAAGGTGGGTAGATCACTCGAGGTCAGGAATTCATGACCAGTCTGGCCAACATGGTGAAACCCTATCTCTACTAAAAATACAAAAAATTAGCCAGGTGTGGTGATGGATACCTGTAATCCCAGCTACTCAGGAGGCTGAGGGAGGAGAATTGCTTGAACCCAGGAGGCAGAGATTGCAGTGAGCCGAGATCACGGCACTGCAACTCCAGCCTGGGCAACAGAGTGAGACTCCATCTCAAAATAAATAAATAAATAAATAAATAAATAAATAAATAAAATGAAAAATCTTTCAAAATGCTTCTAGTAGGATTAGTTATATAAGTGTGAAATCATTACCATTATTAAATAAATATTTCTTCTGTAATGTATCTATAAACAGTGTCATCCTCACTAGAAGTAGAACATATTCACAGGCTAAGTAGAATATGCAAAACACGACAGTAACAGGGTTTCAGATAACACCCCTGCACATTGCCAATTAAACGAGAACTAATTGTTCATTAGAAATTTAAAAAATAAAAATGTGTTAATTTTAATTTGACTGACACTAAATATTATGGTACTCTAAAGAATATAGATAAAGGCATTGACTTATGTTTTATTAACACATGCATAGTTTATTCACTGACACACAGAAAAACTACAATTTTTCCTTTACTTCCTATTTCGCAACAATTTTAGATCACTATGTGCTCCCCTCTGATGCCCCCACCTGGGGTAACCTTCCACCCTTTTTTAAAAAAGACATTCATGTCCATAGTGGTTGAGTCTGGACTCTGGAGCCACAGTGACTGGGTTTGCCTCCCTGCTGCCCACTTACAAGCTGCGTCACTTTGGACAAGTTATATAACATCTTTGTGCTTCAGTTTCTTCATCTGCAAAATGGGGATAAAAATAGTAATCACTTCATAAAGTTGATGTGTTTGGCACATAGTAGGCACCATGTGTCAGCTATTGGAGAACAGAGTCCTGGTGGTCCTCAAGTTGGAACAGTTCATGTAGATTTTCCAAAGGGCATGCAAGTGCGGATAGTTTTAAGAAAACCAACTTCTAGATTCTTGCCTTCTATATAGAGGTACTTTAAAAAAGTACATCTTCTAAGAAGCTGCCTGTCCTAACTAGAGTTTAATCTTGGACAGTCTCTATTTCTCATTTTACAAAAGAAAAATATTTCCTTTTGGCCCATTCCAAGGTTTCAAACCAAGAAACAACTCCACAATTCCTTTAATCAAGAAATTATGCATGCTCTCCCCAACCTATATTACTAATATATTTTTTCATAAATTTTCTTTTTATGTTTGCTAAATATCAGAAATGGTAATATATTCATGCTGTTTTGAATAATTGCATGCTACCAATAATTATAATGAAAACCCAATCCTGATGAAATTTTTCTACACTTATAACCTTATGGTCAAAGGCCATTTTTTTTTTAAAAAAAAAACCTTATTATAGAATGTTGTTATTGCAGATAACAACATGTTATGTAAGACCGAGTAGCCTATAAAAAACTTTCAATTATAAATGATAAAATTCTATGAAAAAAATGGAATAAATATATAAGTTTAAGGAAAAACTTTGCTGAAGAAGAGCTTGTTAATGTTTTTAATGTTTTAAAATATCTACAGTATTCAATATTAAAATATCTATGTACATGTGTATGTGTGACCCCTTGTCATGCTTAAAACAAAGAACTCTCTTAAAACAAGAAACTCTATCTCCATCATCTATATTCACACACATCCTGTTGTTTCTCTGTTTCTCTAGAAAGCTCTACTACACACTCTTTCATGTGGGGAGTGTCAAAAGCACACAGGAGTCACCTTAAAGGTTATTCCACTGGCCAAAAATGGGACACTTTGAAGAGTAAAAAATAAAAATAAAAGATCGAAACATCAAACATATAAATCCATGAGTATCTAATAATACTAAAATTAAAATTTATACTTCAATTTTCATCGCTCACCTTTGGAGATTGTTGGAGCACCAACTTAGTGTCCTGGAAAAGAAATGTACTTTTTCTTCTTTCCTGAATTGGCTATAATTCAAGAGAAACAAATAGATGATGAAAGAAAATTCTTAATAGAAGAATCACAGCTAATAAATATAGATGGAACAAAAGAATTAGAAAATCACCATTGCATAAACTCTAATGAAATAATGGACCCAGATAATGTTTGTCCAGGCAATGTTTGTCATCATAAGATGAAAGGACAAAGGCAAATTTATAACAGATGAATCTGACTGATAATACTTATACTATTGATTCATATTAATGTCACTAGAATAAGACAACTAGAAATTGCTTCTCCTTGGTAATTCCACAGGAATTATAAACACAGGAATACCTATGAAGCATTCTTGCCATAAACACTGAATCTAACCAAGTTTCTAGATCGAATTTCTAGGGTTTTTTTCTCATAAATGTGTGAAGTAGAGAAACATTTTAAAAGACATGGCAGAGAAAACAGAGAAAGGAGAAGTGTTACAAATGAAGAGACTCAAGAATCATAGGCGGGCGGATCACAAGGTCAGGAGTTTGAGACCAGCCTGGCCAATATGGTGAAACCCCGTCTCTACTAAAAATACAAAAAAAAAAAAAAAAAATTAGCCCGGCATGGTGACACATGCCTGTAATCCCAGTTACTCAGGAGGCTGAGGCAGGAGAATTGCTTGAACCCGGGAGGCGGAGGTTGCGGTGAGCCGAGATTGCACCACTGCACTCTAGCTTGGGCGACAGAGAGAGACTCCATCTCAAAAAATAAATAAATAAATAAAAATCACTTCAACTAAATACAATGCATAAATATTTAAGTATTATTTAGTTCCTGATTTGAACAAACTATCATAAAGCATACATTTTTGAGACAATTGGTGACACATGAATATGTACTGCTTACTACTTCATATTAAGGAAATGATTTTATTGAATGTGAATAAATGGTACTACCGTGATAAATCTTCTTTGTTAGACATATAAACCAAGGTATATGTGAGTACAATATGATTGGAGTTTGCTTTAAAATACTCCAATAGAAAAGAGTAAGGGAGTAAAGGTAAGAATGTCAGAAAGCTGATGATTGTTTAACTTGGGTGAAGAGTACATGGAGGTTTTACTGCTTTTCCTCTTGTATGTGTTTGAAAATGTTCATTAAAATATTTTAAACAAATTATATGGAATTCATATTCTATTAGATATATTTTAAATACACAGTTTTATTTTTTAACTGTCAACATTCATAGCATACCCAAAATCACATATTTTCCAACTACTTAAGCTTGTAACAAGAAATGTTAAGTGTCAAATTAAAATGTACAAGAGAGTATATGTTTTTCAAAATTGCATTATAGAGTACATGAGCAAAAAAGTATTTGAAGATCTTGTTCTGGACAATAACTACCTCCAGCCTCAGCAGTAAGGAGAGGAAGGAGAGAATTCAAGTGGGACAGAGCTGACAAACAACCTCCTAATCCTCTTTCCCAGGTAAACTGGGACTTGATTAGCTCTTCTGCATTTCCCTAGAGGGTGAGAAACAGGTTCTCATAATTCCTTCACAATGAACTAGGTGCTTAAGACTGCACCTATGCTTAAGACTGCCATAGAATCACCACAATTTAACACTCCTTTCGTAGCTTGGTCTAGGTCCCCTAAACCAGATAGTGATGATCAGTGCATTCGTTCAAAATCCCAAATTGTGAGGGAGGGTTAGTAAAGTTCAAAGTAAAGCATACTGTCAGGTCGAAAATTACCTTGATGTAATGGTAGCCACCAAGTACATTACCAGGCAGGCTAAATCTGAGGGCTCACAGACCAAATTAACATGTTCATTTCATACAATTTACTAAATAAATGTAAAACAAAAAGCAATGGGAAAGCAATGAAATAGGCTGACACTCTTATGATAGGATGTGAGTGGCAGGACCACCCTATAGGTATCCTGGGTTCCATGTTAGTCACATCCTCTGTTTTCTCTGTGCCACATAAGCCTTCCCCATAATAATTCAGATTTGAGTCAGGTGACCCAGATAGAAGGTGCCAGGGGTCAAAGGCACATACTTGATAAAGAGAGAAACAAAGGGAAAGTTATACCTGAATAAAGAGGTAGCTTGCCAATTAACAGTGAAGAATTATGGGTTTTATTTGCATTTCCTAGGCATAGTACCATGGGCCAATATAGGACCTTACTGGATGTCATAAATAGGTGGCATGGCACAGCTGTCAGCCCAGAAGTGACAAGATCATAAATTGGTCTTTCTACCTTTCTATCAAATAAATACAAACTTGTCTAGTCCTTCATGACCCATTTATTTTGTCTTGGCAAGTTTTATAGGTTAGTAACTTGTTTACTATGTATATTTAGTACATCTTCTAAATTCTGCTTTTCTTTCTCAAACTACATGCTTACTCATATCTATATTAATACATGCTAGAAGTTTCACCTGTATCTCATAACATACTAGCTGACTTCCTATCTATCGTCAAATTTCTTACACATTTCACCATCTCATTTGTTTTCTTCTATAGCAGAATTGAATATTCTAACTCACATTTTCTAGTGGGATGGAGATGACACAGCAGAGAAAAGCATGCATGTGGAAGAAAGACACAAGTGAAGAAAAGAAATATGGAATTACCATCATCTTCAAAGATTTCAGGTCTCTTTCTCTAGCTTCCAACACAGCTAGTAAACAGTCATATGTTACCTCTCAAAGGCCAGTCCTAATGTACATTGGAAACACTTAGGTAGAGTTTTAGGTCATATTCCACTGAGAGGTTGTATCTGTCCCTTGAAAACTGCATTCCAGCAGCAAATACCTTATTTTCTGCCACTCAACATGCCCTCACCTATTTAATTCCCAGTTACCTCCACCAATGCTGAAACGGCATCCCCATACCACAGTGGAAGCCATTATACACTGTGATAGGAACTTCAGGTGTGTTAAAATATTGGCAAGGTAGATAATGACTGTTGGTTCAGGAGATATAAGTTGCTGCCACATTCAACCTTACTAGGAGACATGGAGATCTCATTTGCAAAGCCCCATCTCCAATAGAGCTGGTCCAGAAGGCTAACCATTCAATTCAATTAAGAAAGACATTTGATTTCTTCATTAAATCTACCTTTCTGGTGTTGTATAAACATGTAAATCACACGTATACACCTGCATTGCCAAATTATTCTTTTTAAAATTAATTTTACAACAACTAAAATATAGTTTACTATGGAATAGTCTACTCTTCTACGATGTAATAGTCATATCCCTGAGTAAACTTGCATTATCAAAACTCATTTTATAAAAACAATAGTTTAATTTTTTTTAAGTGGGGAGGTTAAGAACTAGAGTTCCAGACTCTCAAATAGGTTATGTTTCCTGTTGGAATTTCAGTGATAAATGTTTTTTCTTGTTTATTTTAATAGCTATAATTGCACAACTAGACAAACTAAATGTCTTAGGGTAAATCTAGCTATTTAGCTTTTGCCTTATTCTATGCTACCAGACTATGTTTAGTAAAGCAGTTCTTGCACATTCTTACCACTTTATTATCCTGTCATCTATTGTTATGATGAACAAATCAATTTTATGTAAACATAAACAAGGTACCTTTGTGGCCCTCCAAATGTGTTTTCCCTAAAACCACTTTGCTAATTCCTGACCCCATCATCTATCCATTCAATCAACAAATTATTGAGTACCAACTACTTCCAGATTTGAAAACAAGACAATGAATTCAATGTTGACAAGATAATATTGTTCCTCCAACTGGTTGAATTTTCATTATAATGAATGTAAACACAATTTTAATTAACTTGTCTTATTAAAGACAATTTAAATGATTATAATTGAAGTTATTATAGAAATGCTCATATTAAAATTTAAAAAGTGTATTTAAAAATCTACTCTTGGAATTAGCAATCATTATAATTTTTTTGTTTTTAATCTTTAATCTATGATTTTACAGATTTTTTTTTTTAAACAAAGGTGTGGCCATATTAAATATACAGTTCATATGCAAGGCTGTTTGTGGTGGCTCACACGTGTAGCCCCAGCTAATTGGGAGGCTGAGGCAGGAGGATTGCTGGAGTCCAGGAGTTTAAGTCCATACTGGACAACATAGCAAGGCCCCGTGTCCCAAAAAAACAAAATAAAATATATACAGCTGGGTTCAATGAATGACAGTATTCCTAAATTACTAAATATTTGTTGAGAACATGATTTTTTATTACCTGTTTAATATCCTAGTTAGTGGCTCCAAGTACTTCTTACTGTGATTAAAGCTGTAATTCTTGTATATATATACCTTTGACCACACCACTGAATAGTTCTTTAAGTCTAGAAGCTAAATCCCTAGATCAAAATAAATGCACATTTTTAAGGCTGTTGTGTATCTCCAAAATGAATTGCTTTTTGGAAATGAATCAATTTCTAAAATTATCAGAAGTATTATATGAAAGCCCATCTAACAGTACCCATTAGTGGAGCAAAATATTATTTTCTTAATTTTGCCAGTTTTAGAAAAATGTTATAACTAGTAGTGAACATTTAATTTTTAAAATTTTAATTATTCAATCTTTTAAAATTATATCAATACTCAAGGAGGAATATCAAGGGATCAACAGTGAGATTTTATAAATTGTAAATTAGCTTAGTTCTACTTAGGAAAACATTTAATTAAAAGAAGAAATTCCTAAAACATAGGATATGTATGTTAAGCTCCTAGATATTTTAAAGATAACTAAGTTCAAAATATCTAATTAGCCCAGTGTCCCCTTTCCCATATACTTATGAGAACATATCCAATTATCTTGAAAAAGGTAATTAAAATTACTATTAATAATCTTGATACTAAGACATGTTATAATTCATTTGATAATTACATTTCCCACAAAGATACTGTCAACATAAACTGTGAAACTGTAGATCCATCCTGTTTACAAGTATCAGAAACAATATGCTCATTGTTCTGTTGTACTTAAATGCTGCATTGCAGTTTTTCTTAACAGGTAATACGTGACATGAAACATGTCTGATTTTATG